CTGCGCTGCTGTAAGCTGGGTGTGGCGCAGGGTGGTCCTTGGGTGCAAGTGGCATGTGTGTGTTGGGGAACGAGGTTGTGAGTGAGGCGAGAGACCTACCTGGTGCTGGAAGCTTGCGACATTGGTCGTTGTATGCTCGTACTTCGGGAAAGTTGTTGACGTCATCTTCGGCATTGTAGTCTAGGCTAGATAGGATCTGCCATGTGTAGTCTGGGCGCCTAGCGCCAGATAGGATATCAACATTGGTTCTTCATTGATGATGATGATGAGACTTTACCAACACTGTCAATTACGAGCTCTTGGTGTCTTCTTATTTGGTGAAACTCGTGATGCAATTCTGTTGTTGGTTCGAGGTCACGACTATCTGGTCTTGTGTATATGATGCTGTTTGATTGCTGAAGTTCGCTATTGCTCATCTTCCTTGCACCAGGACTTTTTGCAGAGTTACCTACCACAAATTCCGAAATATGTCCACCTCGATACCGTTCTGGTATTGTCTACACAGTGCGAGTGATGCCACTTTATCGCTTGCAGACAATTGGCTTTCAGGTGAAATGGCACGTTTTTGGAATTGAGCAACAGATGCTGATTGGGGAACTCAGATAGTCTAGACAAGACATGTGTTATGTGCCTGATTGGAACGAGATACAGCATGGCATCCACATGTTCCCATACACATGCACAACGACAAGAGATCTTGGAGAGAGCAATTCACACCATACCGGATGAGAGCATACACAGCGGAAACATTTTTTGAAAACCAAAATAGAATTGAGATTAATGATTAATCAATCCTAATTAATCCCCCGATCTCCCCAGCCAATCAACGCACTGTTTTTTTTTTTCCAAGAATCCCAACCATGTTATTAACACCCAGAAACCAATCATTTACACACATCTCGCCGAAGTATCTAGGAGTCTTCTTCTTCCTCCCTCCAATCAAACTCTAGCTGTGGTGCGGCACGTCGCCCAACCCAACAGCCCATCAGTTGCCCCCAACCCTCTTGAACCCAACAGACTACAAGGACTCCCACTCGCCACTTCTTCGTCACCACGGATGCTTCCGACTTTGCCATCGGGGCCGTCTTATCCCAGCACTTTCCCCCCGACCCCGTGGAAACCCCCTCCATCAAGGACTCCCCCACTCACTCCCAATGCCCACCCGRCGAGCACCCCATCGCATTCGCCAGCAAGAAACTCCTTCCCGCAGAAATGAACTACCCATCCAACGAGAAGGAGCTCCTCGCCGTGGTCTACGCCCTCAAAGTTTGGCGCCCGTACCTCGACGGGCAATATTTCACCATCCATACCGATAACAGCGTCGTTTCCTCTATTCTTACCAAGAAAGACATCACCCCTCGCCAAGCCCGCTGGCTCGACTTCCTTGCCCAATTTACCTTCACCATTTGCCACACCCCCGACAAAAGCAACCGTGTTGCCGATGCCCTCTCCCGCCGCCCCGACCACAAGCCCCTTGAGAAAGTCTACGCCGCCATGACCCACATCCAGCTCCTGCCATCGCTCCACTATCGTTACACCCAAGGATACCTCTCTTGCCCGGACTTCTCCACCATCTACAACAAGACTCCGTGACCTCGACCCCGTCTCCGGCTACGCCCTCCACGACAACCTTCTCTACATTGAAACCAAAGGCACCCGCCGACTTTGCATCCCTGACGCCCGTGGCCTCCGCACTCGGCTCTTGGCCGAGCACCATGACGCCAAGACCACTGGCCACCTTGGTTTCCAGAAAACCTTTGATACCATCTCCCGTTATTTCCATTGGCCTTCCCTCCTTGCTGACGTCAAAGCCTACATCCGCTCGTGCCCCACGTGTCAGGCCGTCAACCCCTCGAACCGGGCTAAGCCCGACATGCTTCAATCATTGCCCATCCCCACCCACCGCTGGCAGTCCGTCTCCATGGACTTCGTGTGCGGTCTTCCCAAGACCGACCGTGGGGATGACTGCATCTACGTCATTGTTTGCCGCCTGACCAAACGTGCTCACTTCATCCCATGTACCACCTTGCACAATGCCAAAGACATTGCCATTCTCTTCTTCGACCATGTCGCCAGACACCACGGCCTCCCCGAGAATATCATCAGTGATCGTGACCCCCGCTTTCTCTCCCAATTCTAGAAACAACTCTTCAATGCCTACGGAACCACGCTCAGGTACAGCACTGCATTCCATCCACAAACCGACGGACAGACCAAGAAGATGAACGATACTCTCCAAAGAATCTTGCGGAAGTATTGTCATCCCCACCAGCACGATTATGATCAGCTGCTCACCGCCGTCGAGATTGCCTACAACAACGTCGTTTGCCTTTCCACTGGCATGTCCCCCTTCTACCTTGACCTTGGCTATCACCCACGCTTGCCTTCTGACTTCTTGCTCCTCTCGCAACTCAACCCATCCTCCCCCTGTCCCTCTCTCAATGACTGGGTTGCAACAATGAACCGTCTCCTAAGAGAAGCAACCGAGTCAATCAAGCACACCCAGGAACAACAAGCTAAACAAGCCAACAAGCATCGCCGTGATATCACCTTCCAAGTAGGGGACAAAGTCTGGCTCTCCRMCAAACGCTTTGAACCTGAACAGGGCTTGTCCAAGAAACTCTCGAACAAGTGGCTCGGTCCCTTCYCCATCATTGAACAAACCTCTMCCGTGAACTAYAAACTCCAGCTACCCCCTGACATGAGCCRYGTACACCCAGTCTTCCACGTAGAATATCTCAARGAATACCACRAATCCCCGCCTCAGTTCGCTGATCGCCCATATCCTCGACCTCCACCTATCATGCTTCCCACTGGACCAGAATTCATAGTCGAATCAATCATAGGAAGAAAAACAACCCAAGTCGCAGACCATCCGGAACCAATCACCGAATACAAAGTCAAATGGACCGGATACCCTGACGAAGAATCAACATGGGAACCCCTTGAAAATCTCAAGAATGCCATGAGACTTGTCCGCGCCTATGATCGTTCCCACCCTGCATCCTAGCTACCCCCCCTGCCCATACCCTGAACCCTTGCTTAAACCCTGCTACAACCTCACCACCTTGCTCTACACACACCCCCGCCACAGCCACCCTTGCCCTTGACCCACTTTTCTGATGTCTGATCTGCCCTTGTTCCTCGCCTAGCCTTGCCCCATTCGTCCTCTCCACTTCCTTGTCCATATTGTCCAATGTTGGTGGACCTGCGTGACGACCAGCGATAAAGGATCTAATGGCATGCGCACGAGGGCGATGGCTTGCTGCATCACTGTTCATGGAGATTATGCAGCTGGATTGGCCACCATGCTGCTACAACGGCCGGCACCCTGCCT